AATATTTTACTTATGAAGGCTGAGAAAAGGCTTTTATATTAAAAATAAAAATTGTTAGAAATTGGATAAGCAAGGAAAGAAATGCGTAACAAGTAACATTATTGAATTCCAATCGCCTTAAGTACGTGCGGAAATGATAAATTATCGGATTTTGCGCGTGACTCGCGAATCGATCGGCGGAACGGACGTCGAAATGCTTTACGGAAACCTGATATCACCATATCGAAACGAATGGCCCATGCTTTATCCAAGCGCCTTATCGAGCATTTACTAATGTTTCCTACGACAAAGGCATAAAATCGCGAATGGCCACGTATATTATGCAAGAACGAGATCCGTGCGGCGCGCGAACAAGACTGATAACGCGGCGGGCGAGGAAAAATGAGAGCGGGTTGTTTTCACAGGTTCCACATTCGCGTGCGCGTCGTAGCGAGACGGTGAAATTACAGATGGTGAGCAGAAAACGTGTCTGCATGAACAACATACGCGCCTGGTCACTACCAGAAAATTGCTCCAGTGACGAACGTTTTCTCAAAGCTTCTTTTTATCAAGTAATTTTTGTCATCCAGTACCTCGATAATTGAAACTTGAAATTTCATTCTGGATTGATACACGCAATTGAAACTAAGGGGAAAATGAAAATGTTCATAATTATAAGTACTTATTTTTTAAAGCGAAGCGTTAAACTTTCGTTAAAGTTTTAATTTCACACTGAGAAAATTTTTCATCGGATGAACCTATTAAATAGTGTTTCCGATGGTTAGGGATTCCGTGAATCCTCATTATTCGTCAGATTCACGGTGATATTTCCGCGATGGGCTTAAGGAACCCGCCGTCGGGTTAGTAAGGTGCGCGGTGAGAAATTTCGCGCGGTTTTGCCGAGACAGTATTAAAATGCGACGCGGTGTCAGGCGTGAGAGAAACGCCGGTGGATTGTAAAGGCGAAATATACTGCAGTTTACAGGATTATCCGGAGTGCGATCTTGCGCAGCGCGCGGCGGCTCCACCTCGCTATCTCCGCGGCAGTTTCTATATGCCGCAACGGGCGCGACGCGTCCTACATAAATCACCCGCTGTAGACGCCGGGAGAGAGCCTTTTGAAATTATATAGCTCGGCCACGACGAGAATCCGCCCGCGGATTTTCAGAGTTCCTCGCAGCGATATCGCGCACGGTATCTAGATGGCAGATCGGGCCGAGTCATCGAGCGCGAGGGCGAGGTGCGCTCCTCTCCTCTCGTTGATGTATCGATACGACCGGCCGCCGATCTCTTCTCCGCGCATTGCCTCTCTGTCATTCAACGAATCGACCGTCCGAGCACTCGTTGCCACTCGCTGCTTCGCGAACGCGCTCGAAAAAGGGAACCAATTGCGAGATCTGACGGCTCTATCCGTAAGAAAAAAGGGTTGGGTGTTGCGCAGATACGATCGGCATCGGCGGAAGTGGGATAGATTTTTCACGTGTGGCTCGCTATTACGAGAAAATATCTCTATGGCAAATATTTGAAACTACTCTTTGAAGAATGGCGATATGCCAATGTTTAGATTAAATTGTTGAATTGATAAATTTGAGATATTCCGATTAGCTCTGAATTTTATTAAAATCACTCAGTTTGATTAGAATCATTTAATTATAGGTCCGTGATATTTAATGCTCAACATAACGATGTTTAAGTCGATAAAACTGCAGGGGCAAGTGTTTGAGTTCTCGTCCGCGAGTGTGACATGGGTATCGCGTCGAAAGATCGAGAGATCAACTCTCAGGCAATGGCAACGGTGGCTGCGAGCACTCGCGGAGCGATCTAGAGTGATCACGTGAGCGCGAACAGGACGATCGCGATAGAGAACGCATCTCCGCTGTAAATCAATCTGAAATGATCTCGGTTCGACACCCGATCCACCCAGCGTGGGCGCTAGTCAGCCGTCGTTATCGGCCGCTAGCATCCTCGATTCATCCTACCTATTTCGATGTGGATCGGCACGATCTCTCTCGTCGGAGGAAAGAGGCGCCCATCTCTTACGTGCCGCTCGTAAAATTACGAAATTAAATCTCACGGCGCGGAGCGAGAAATTAACGGTCCCGTTTCGCGGACGCGACAAAAACGATCCCGTCGAATGAAGTGTCGATTAACCGTATCGCAGTGGTTCTCATGCGGATTCCTTCTCGATTATGGCGTCGGTATGTTCCTTCTAAGAAAAGGTGTTTGGTTTAACTATTATTGGAAATAATTTTACTCCGTGCAAATTTTCGTTCCTTCGGGGATTTTATTTCTTAAGCTGTAACGCATTTCTGTCTGTAACCAACAATTTTAGCCAAGTGTTCTGATCTAGTCATTTAAACGTTGACGTTGCACGTCTTTCACGTAAGAAACGAATACGTACATCGTAACGTTATACTTTTAGAAAAATACGTTCCTTATCCATCGTCCGCTGCATTTAAGAGACCCAATATATTCACGCGAGTTACGACGAAGAAATTTTTAATTGCTAATCAAGAAATGAGTGAATTTCTTACGGCACGCGCGATAAAAGTAATCTGGAAGTATTGCGAAGAGAGTGGTTTTTAAAACCAACTAGCAGACTGGCAGATGCGAGAGATCGGCGGTGCTGGAAAATAGCTCGACAGATAGAACGGAAAGGTAAATGATCCACGAGGGAGGAAAGGGGGAAGGGGGGAAGACGCGTTACGATGGATGGACGGACGGTATTATATGGTGACTATGGCCGTGGTGAAGGCGAGTTTTTATCGCGGCCACCATCTGGCCGACCGATCGTCATTACCGCCCTAAGTGATCCTCGCATGACCGACCGGACTTTGCACCACGTCACCGCAGCTCGTTACGAACAGCCTCGATTTTTCGCGGGTATCACTATTACGTTTCCGCAGCCGTTCTTAGAGCGAATGGGAGTCAGCGAGTAAAGCTTTTTTCGAGAGCCAACGTTATCAAGAGCCCGGTAAATCTGTGAATAAAATTTTCATTGCACCTGCCAGCGTATAAACGATATACATATAGTGACATGACGCAGATGAAATATTAATTTTCGACATTTTGACCACGAGTTTTCTTAAACTGATGCTTCCATCCGCCCCGAAACATTGTGATAAATGTTGTAACATGCGCCCGGAACGGATGTGTCGGGTGGGATTGCTTGAAACCTCGTTAATAAGGAAATAAATAAAGCGCATGCTGGAAACAAAAGTAGACAAACAATATAATGGATGAGTTTCGCATTCGGTGCAATAGTGCACGATTAGGTGCGGTATACTTTTTAGATTTCGAAAGAATTGATGGGGCAGAAATTATAAGCTTATTTTGTTTCTAATGTTAAAAATTTGCATTTCTTATATCTTTCAAAAGTTAATATTCTAACATATCTTGGTTAAGTACATGAGAAATTTTACAAAAAAAATCTTGCTTAAGCTTACATAATTAAATATATATTAATATAAATAAGTAAATAACTAAATAGAGAGATGCATATAAAAGTGTTTTATAATAATAATTTTAATCCCTAAGAGATTAAATCCCTCGGGGACTCAAACATACATCTTTAGCTTTATTTTTCCCCACTACTCGCATTTATGCACTCTTTTGCATATTTCTGACTAGTAGAACGTGTAATAGAAACTGATTTATGCTACCGTGTCATCCGTTTTCCCGCTGAGCCTACGGACAGCCGGTCGCATTCCTCGTTTTCGCGAACTTTTCGTTTTATGGCTTCATCGGTGGCAACGGATTAACCGATCCCTCCACTCGGGCGTGAGTTTCTCCGCACAACACGGTTTGATTGCCGCTATAAAGATGTTTCGCAGCGATTTCCTTTCGCGCTTCGCCGAGATCGATGTAGACGAGCGGAATGGGGGAAAAATGGAGATAAAGAGAAAAAAAAATTATAAAACAGTCGCGATTGCACGTCAGGAATCGCTTAGCCTGCCAGACGCCGCATGGAATTCCGAGCTGTGTCTACGACTTAACAATGTGGAAGGAAAAACACTGCTGATTCGGCGAATGAGCGCTTCAAAGCGTGCTGCTGCGACACCGTCATTCTGTTCCGTTGGATCCCGCAGGGATAATTGATCTGTACAGTTATTTGGGCTTAGTAATCCACACGGACCCGAGCTCTATATGTTGCGAATGCTCGTATACATTTACACGCAATGTGCATTCATTTTTATGAGCGATAGTGCGATAAATATTTGAAGAAAAGTGGAATTAAGATACAACTCAATTTAACAATAACAAAAAGCGTAAGAGTAAGAACGAGATTACTAGATATACGTATTTGACATGGATGGACCGTTTCGAGTTTTCATTTATATCTTTTCATTAAAAAATAACGATTCGCCGACGTATAATAGTTGTTTCCTGCACGTTTCGTGCGAGATCTCATGAAAAAGAGATCAGTATGTTGCGAGTTAATAGGAAATTGGAAAGTCTCTCTCTTAAAAAGAGGACCATCGATCGAAACGTCGACTTCCTTAATTGATGCACATTAGTGTGCGATTCAGCGTCGGCAGTTTTGTCCAAAATTAAACCTCGCAATCTTTTATCCTATATTTGGTATACCGTTGACTTTCCTTAAATCCACGACAGGTAATTATCACAAATGAATTTTTTATCAAAGCCGGAATACATAAGACGTAAGTCGAAAAAAAAACGAAAAGAAGACACGCCTGCGGGTGCAATTAAGAAAATGCGCCTTTCGATCGCGATTTTACAGCCCGCCGATTTAATTAACGCTTATTAACTTGTTTTAATCGCTTCCCCTTCCCGTTCGTACGACTTTCCTGTTACCTCGGAATCGGGAAAAAAAATCAAGCAATCGTTACTAACAATGACACATTTTTTAATTACACACCCAACTCACATCGTTGGCGAAAATCACCGAATTGACTGCATACATCGAGCCGTTCCGAACGGCCGGCCGTGCGCCGCTCGTTGATTTATCAAAAATAATTACGAGGACTTTGACGAATGCACCGATGGTGCGACGAACATGCCTTTTTTCAGCACTTCTTGCTGCCGCACGCGATACGCTTTTGCTAAAATGAGCTGATCGATTAACGGCCCGAATTCACCGACTTTCATCTTGCCCGCGACTTGTTAATACCGACGATTTATTACGAGGTAAAACGTACCACTTTCATCTCCGGTGCAATCGCCGGGAATTCCAACGGAACCTGCAGCGTATCGCGCGCGAGAACTTGTTACAAGGTCTAATGCCACGCGGCCCCGGCATGGGGAATCACTGACTTTCTCGAAATTATGGCATTAACGAACAGCGTTCATCGCATTCATTCATTACGTTAAAGACTTTTCACAGTACTTTTATTAAACCATACTTATTTTATGATCCTACTTATGACACTGCTTTTTATTTCTACGTAGATTCCAATTGTGCACTAATCGATAAAAGAACTGCATCTTGTAGCTTCGTTCCACTTTTGCGCGAGTTTGGCTTTCTAAAGTTTGGTCTCTCGTAAATTCTGGTTTAAGCGATCCCGCGGACGTAAGCATTAAAATGCCGCTACGTACGTGCATTGCAAATAGTGGTAGAACTGGGTTTCGTTAGGAAAAGAATATTAGGCAATTTTTTCAGTCTAAACGTCTCGTTTCTCATAAGAGTTTAGGGGGATACGTTTGGTTCAACTTATTTCATTTGCACAGATTACTACTTAATTCATTAGAACTTGCTAGTTATTCATCAGTAGAATCAGTCGAGGCTATGCAAAGAAGAAAATGAATGCAGCACATGCTGTAAGGAATGAAACTCGAACAATTTCGTTAACTTGTGCGAGGCGTATTCGTATTTCTGTCACGAGCCGAGCTGAATATTATCGTCATACATGCACGATGCGGGCAATGACTTTGTTGTCGTTTTACGCATTGAATAATCAACGTTACGCGAACAACAGCTGATTATCTCCGATTCGATGAATCGAGATAATTATCGCTTTGATATGCTTTATCATTTGTAACAAAACTACAATAGCGCGTCGGTGCGACGGTATCTGCACAGTGGCGGGTCTATTGTAACATTTCTGTGCGTTAAAATCAAATCATTAGTGCTGTCTGACCGCTGGAGTAAAAAAATATTGCTCCAACGGTACTCTCGTATGCTAAAGCGTAATTATTATTACTCTCACGATAAGATGCATTATGGAAAAATTATCACGGTACGAGCTCGTTCACTTCATAACAGCGATATCGCGCTCTCTGGCTTCGCTCTCTAGTTTACTTTATTCTGCATCCCATTCGCCGGGACGGGAAGCTCTCGAAGAATCGACTTTCCAGGAAAGAAGATCTCGCGCACGCAAGAACTCGTTGCGAGAGGAACTTGACGAAGTCGCATTAACGCCGTTAAAGCTGCTGGGATTTTGCGCGGTTTTGCGAACAGCACCCGCTATCTCCGGTCTGCAATCGAGGTTGATAATTATCGGTTTGATATGGTCTGCCGCACAAACACGGGATCGAATAACTTGTGCGGTAGTCACGGCTATTACGTCGGTACGCTTGATTTTACGCGGTGATACTTTCATCCGCGTAAAAGATGATGACTAATACGTACCGTTTGATTACTGACTCAATTAACGAGACCGATTTGTTTTGTGCCGATCGAGTTAAAGATAATCTGACCGATTTTCACCGTTTTCATAAGAATGTTTTGTTTCATGTAACGTGATAATTTATCGCCCCAATATCGTGCTATCTATTCGTGCGTCTATAGAGAAGTGACGTTTCAATTTCGTCGTTTTTTTGTCATTTTTGAGGAGTTTTACAGTTCCTAAATTCAAAGTCGGAGAAGGAATCCTAACTTTTAAATATGTTAAAAAATTATTCATCCGTTATTGAAATTCTGGAAGGTTTAGATAATAGAAAATTTGTTCTGGCGGAGTTAGCCGAAGATTTTCTTATACAGACGTTCGCTCCGGCCAGAAATGTGCGATCTAAAAATATACAGTACAATCCCGAGTAAGGGCGTTTTAAGGGCTAGGAAACCAGATCACAATGATCGTCAGTAGGAGGTCTTTCTTATGTCGCAACGGACTCTCTAATAGAAGACTCTTCGGAGAAGGGTCTCGAAAGAAAAGAAGCCCTAATAGCGACGTGTCTGCACAAGGACGAAGGTAAAGCACGCAGGAGGGTGGAAGGAAAAGAGAGGCAGAGAGACCGGACAGGTGCCACACGCTGAGGCGCCCACCGTAGGCCGGTTAATGCGATCTCGCCGGCGCGGCGGTTTCGTCGTCTTTCCGCGCCATGAGCCTTTGCGATAATTGTCGCATAAAGTCGACACATTATTGCGTTACGGCCTTCCGCGGAGGCCCCGCGAGATATTATGGCCATTCCGCTTGCCCACGTAATGGCGGCCCCACGCGACGCCGCGCCGTCGACGATCGTCCTCCGGAAGGACTCCTTCTTCGGACCCATCGCTTCAGAATTAATGGAAATAAGCGCCGAGAGAGGAAGAAGAGCCGCGAGAGCGACAACCCGGCAGATTTCTCTCCTAACTTTTCCAAGACGATGAATCGCCGCAGAATAATTATCACGTGGTTCTTTTCTTTCGGCATATAATTATACTCTCGATATTGGAGCTTCTTTTATAGGAATCTCTCTGGAATCCCTAGATAATTTCCCATTTCTGTCGGCGTTTACTTTCCGACAATGCAAAAAGATGTGAGATGACGGTGGAGAGAAACGTTAGTAATATGTGCGACGCAAATGCCTGGAGAGTTTTCGCGGCATTCTCGAGATCTCTTACGAGACTGTTCCCGAGCGAACGAAATTGCAAATGAGCTACTCACTTCGTCGGGATTTCGCCAAGACAAACAAAAGGCATTAATCCTCGGTTCCTTCATGTTTCAGAAGTCACCGCCTCCGCGTCGCGCCGACGCGTGAGTCTTAAGTCAATTTTACACCGTAACATCTCAACGGGGCACTATAGCACGCTAGAAATAGCTAATGAAAAATGTTGATATTAATTTCACAGTAACTCATATCAACATAACAATTTCCATGAATAAATATCATTTCTAATTACATATATAAGAGGACAATAATCGAAATACTGAAGAAACATAAAGGCATCAGATTATTAAAGGAATATTTATTGTAAGTTATTTCTTTATGATTTATTGTCATGAGCTGAGGTTTATTCTATTCGGCGCGAGACACAGTGTGCGGCGAGCTTCAGCTCTGAAATCGCGTACGCGCTTTTGTGCGTTGGCGGACATCGTTTTCTAAATCACTTGCTGTCACTGTCGACACCGGCTTTCTCTCTTTTTCCTGCGGCTGTCTTTGTCCATCCCGCTTCGTATCCTCGTCGCACACACGCATGGAGAACAGCGACAATGTCCCAAATGACGTTCTATTTTCGCGAGGAGGCGTCCATCTCCCAGCCGGTCGTAAAACTTTAGTTTAGTCGCAGGTGCATTAAGCCTAGAATAGGCTCCTTGTAACTTTGACTTCGTTGCGCTACAATAAATGTCTCGCCCTAACTATGAACCGTTTCGAGCGTACGAAGAAACGGTTCTCTTCCGCCGAATTTCCCGATGAAATATCCCGTAGCAAGAATTTTACGTGAGCTATAAATGCCGTCGAGTGCCGAAATCTAAATGGTGCAATTGCTAGCAGTAATTATTGATAGCAATTTGACATTAACTAATTAAATATAGGTATGCTCAACATAGCGTAATAATCCACGTTGGTTTACGTAGCTCGTAAATGAAGAAATTTAAAAAAATTTTAATGCTTTTATTCGCAATATCAAGTCGGGAGAAAAAAAGGGGAGAAAAAATATAAGTTAATCTCGTGATATGACTCTGACATATTAAGCTTAATAAAAATCGTTCTTATTTTCTAAAATCTGAAATTTATCTTGCACACCAACAAGTATGCAAGAGATAATACAAGAATATACAACTGATACAAGATTTATTTTTTAAACAATGCGTTAAGGCACTATGTACTCGTCGTTTTATTTCATATTTTGCAATTAACGCGACCATTGCATCTGTTTGTCAACGATGGCGAAAGTACTTGATAAATATCTGTGTTTCGCTGCGTTATTTACCGCGTATCTATGATATTTTCCGTTTTGTACTTCGCACTTCAACACCACGAGCAAAGATAAGAAAACTCATCGCGCAGCAGAAACTTATCCAACACGTAGAGAATCAACACCCTGTCTTTTTCTATAATTAAACTGAACTTAGAATTACAGTTTCTATACGCGGAAGAAATACGATATGGTCAATATAGGAATAAAGTATAAAATACTTGAAAAGTCAATCTATACAAAACAAAAAATTATTACTAATCGTAATGGATCGCGTGCATCGAAATCCACGGAGTCCGTTGGGCAAAGATAACGAACAGCTTTCGAATCGCGCTGCGGAAATCATAATTAATAAAGGAAAATCTCGTAAACGCTATTAAAAACGCATTAAGACAAAATTATATAGTACGCGTGTAAAATCATAAACCATAAAAAATCAACTTCGTTTTTAACAAAATAGCAATTTAAACTAATCAATTTGGAACGATTTGATAACATAATGGCTTGTAGAGAATGATACATATTAGTTTCTCTACATACTTTCTGTAACACAATTTTGAAAGCACGGCATAGCAATCGACTTCCGCATTGGTTAGCCGCTTCCCTTCGAAGATTAGAGTTTAATACCACGCAAGAAGGAGCGATCTTATCAAGGAAGTGCGCGGTCTGCAGAAGACGTCCGGAAGCGCAGAAGACGGTTTCTCGTCCGTTTTTCTCGTGACTAAAAATGATAAATCTCTATGGAGATACGGACGTAGGAAACGGCCAAAAAAGGTTCCTACTTATTATTAATGGTTATTACTAAATAGTTACGTGAGTTTTACTAGTAGTGGATACACACACACACACTCTCTCTCTCTCAACACCGTTAAGCAATAACAGATACTGAATGTGTGAGAAACTAATATTAATTCATTCTCGTGGAATTAATTACTTTTATTCACTGTGTAACACACTATATCATGTTGGAAGTAAAACGAAATAGATTATTAGGTACTTGTTTAATTCGATAGGAGCGTTGTTTTCAGAAGAA